AGTCCCTGAATAGTGAGGTGGAGGAAGGGGGTCCTTGCTTACCCAGAACAGGGTGAATGAGAGCCTTGGGAGTGAGGATGGGGTGAGGAAGTCCAGATGAGGATGGGGGAGGGATCTCTGAGGGGTGAGGGGGGTTGGCTCCCTGAGGGAATTTGGGGGAAAGGAGACCTGAAAAAATCCTACTAGTTGAGGGTGGGGGTGAAGCCCCTAAAGCTGGGGAGAATGGTGAGGAGGTCCAGAGGAGGCTGGGGAAGCAGGAAATGAGGGGGATTTGGAGAGGCAGGCTGTGGGGGGAAATAAAAGACATAGAGGAAAGAAGTGGGGGCTTGCTGGGACCCCTGACAGCAGATAAACAGATTCTGAATTGAATGGATTAGGCTTGAGGGGCTGGAAAAATACAAGAGGTTTGAGGGTTTAAGGCAATTGAGGGAGACAGGAGGATTTGTGGGGAAGGGGATTAAAAGCAGCATCCCTGGGTGGTAGGGTTACATGATGGCAGAATCTCATTTTGTGAGGGAAAACTTGCTTGTGAGGTCATGCCGGGATGACTGCTTGGCCCCAGAAGTGCCTATGGCCTCCGCGCTCCTGTTCTGCATGGTGGAGCAGAGCAGGACAGTCCCAGAGTCTCCTGGCTAGGGTCCCTTTGCTGTGCTTGTGGTGTAGCCCCATGAGAACCAGGTGTGATGGGCGAATGGCATATTTGGTACCTCTTAGGGGGCTTGGCCTCTGCAACCCCCGTGAGGAGTGGGGTGAGGATAAGGGTTAGGAGGTGAGTCTTGATGTATATGTGTGTGAGTTGACATCTTTCTCTGTCTCCAAGCATGTAGCTCAATGTGGGGATGTGTTCCTTATATGAAAAAATCCACAGCTCTTCTTACAAGACAGCTTTTTCTTCACATTCTTTTCTCTTTCTTTTATGTGGTGTCTGATTTCCATCCCTTCAAGAATTCCCCCAGTAGAGGAAGCCAGCCATTGGGATTCCAGGGTTTTTTATAACCACAGTTGAGTTGCCATTAAATTTAAAATGGATTAATCAGCTGACTCCAGAATGCATTTTAGATGTCATAGGGCAGTGTTGGAGACCTTCCAGAGTCTGGCCTCAAAAGTTGCCTCAGCCCTCCAGTGAAAGAACTGTGTCACATTCATTCATTCATTTGCTTTCCCTCTTCCATCCATCAGAGTCCTCATTCCTTCTTCATCGAGGTCTTGGTTCACCAGGCATTCAGTGAACACCTGCTAGGCCCCTAGTCCTGGCTCTTGGGGATACTGTGGTGAGCAGGGATCATGAGCACAGACTGTGCAATCAGGAGGGATACAGGTTTGATTCCAGACACTGCCACTTGCTAGTTTTGTGACCCTTGGGCTAGTTACTTAACCCCTCTGGGCCTGTTCCCTTATGCATGGGTCTCCCAGGAGGATCGTGAGAATTAAACAAGATAATGTGATGGTATTTATAAAGCTCTGGTACTTGGAACACCTGCCTTCCAGCCACCTCTGTGCAGTACCAGCTCAGGTGACATCGCCCAGTGGCAGGTCATCTTGTTCCTGGCCTATGTGCCCCTTTGCTCAAACCTCTTTGAGTAGTAGGTGAATCATAGCCACTTAGGGATTGGAAAGTTCCTGCGAGAACATCCAGGCTCTCCCTTCAATCCCCTGCTCAAATCCCCTCTATGAAATCTTCCCTGAGTGGGTAGTCAACCTTGGCTTAAACACCTCAGGAACTGGTGGCTGAGGACTGTCCCAGATGGCCATTCTCCTGTAGAGACTTTTCTCAGAGCTACACTCACTCTCTGGCACAGTAGCTATTTGAAATGTGACTTATCTAAATTCAGGGGAGCTGTAAGTATAACATGCCTCCCAGATTTCAAAAACTTAATATGAAAAAAAGTAAAATAAATATTCATCAATTTGTTTATATTTATTGCACATTGAATATTATATTTTGATGGGTTAGGTCAAATGTATTAAAATTAATTTTACTTGATATATATATATATTTTTAATGTGCTTATAAATTTTAAGTTGCACACATTGCTTACATTCTATCTTTTGGACAGCATTGGGTTAGTTCTTATGTGCATTGTGCTAAAGTCTACCTGCCTGTTATAGGGAGCTGCTTTTAACTCCAGGATTTGGTTCGAACCCAGGGCATTTGTGAAAATAACTAATTGTCAAAATTTTCTTTCAAAATTCCTTGAATCACCCAATAAAGTGCAATGTACATGGGTTTTTTAAATAACTGGGCCCAGGAATGTGTATGCGTATGAATGCCTAATGTTTACAGCAGTGCTCAGGGTATAATAAGAGTGTGCTGGCTGAGTGGAATGCCCTGGGATTGTCTGCACTATTTAAATCAGGCCCCTCTAATTCTCCCCTCCAGAGCCCATGTGTAACTCATATAAATTACAACTTCTGTCTTCTGCCCATTGGCTCTTGCTCTTTCCTCTGAGGCCACTAAAAATGAGTTTGCTCTTTCATCCCCATGAAGACAGGCATCCTGGCCTGGGACTTCACTCGCCTGATGCCCAGTTTTATCTCCCCAGTTCCATGTCTCCTTTCAGAGTGGTCGGGAGCCCTTGTGTCAGAAAGGAGGACTCCTGAATCTGGTACCAGGGCCATTGAACCAGAGCTGGCCTTCCAGGTCCTGAGGTCTCCTAACCTATGTGAGCAGAGACAGAGGCAGTGGTCTCAGTGCTGGGGGAGCCAGCCTTTTCTTCTGGTCAGCTGTGTGTATGCAGGTTGTTTTTCTCTTCTGCTAGATCATTGGCCCCTCATGCCCAAGAATCAAGTGTGATTCATCTCTGCATCCTCCTGGTCGCAAATCCAGGACCTGGTGCTCAGTGGCCACATGGTACCCTCAGCTCAAGTTGAGTCATTTTGGCAGCTTGCACACTCTTCACTAACCGTTGCCCTTGGGGTCTCTGCAGAGCAAACTTGGTGGATCTCCAGAAGAAGCTAGAGGAGCTAGAGCTTGACGAGCAGCAGAAGAAGCGTCTAGAAGCCTTCCTCACCCAGAAGGCCAAGGTTGGGGAGCTCAAGGATGATGACTTCGAAAGGATCTCAGAGCTGGGAGCCGGGAACGGCGGGGTGGTCACCAAGGTCCAGCACAGACCTTCAGGCCTCATAATGGCAAGAAAGGTGAGAGGTGGCCAGTGGCAAGGCAGGCATTCTGTCCCCATGCTCTGGAGGAAGCATGTGTTGGGGGCAGGTCCCCCTGGAAATGGGAGAGCAGTTTGAAAGGTGCCGGCCTCTGCCTTCTGACTGGCCCCTGGGCTCAGAAGCCCTCCCATCCGCAAAGGGTTCTCTTTCCTGAAAGAGAGCTTGGCTTCTAGTTAAAATGCAGCAGTGCTGGCTTGCCTCAAGCAGCTCTTCCCTTCCATTACTGACTTCTGCCTTCAGGACCAGCTTAAATTCAGATTCCCAGAAAGCTGAGTGGAGTATTAGGGAAGAGAGGAGGAAATTCAAGTCCTCTTAGAGCTGGCATCACCCTGACTTCACAACCAGGAGAAAGCACTGCATACCCAAGACAGAGCCTGTTCTGCGATAGTCCTTGGGCAATGGGGTAACTAGACCACCTATACTGGCCCGAGTTCTCCAGAGAAGTGGAACCACTAGGGTATGGGGTTGGGGCTAGAGGAAGAAGTATTTTTAAGAAATCTACTTACACGATCATGGCAAGTCAAATTTATAGGGCAGGCCAGCATGCTGGAGACCTGGGGAAGTTGATGTTGCAGCTTAATTCCAAAGGGCGTCTAGAGGCAAAATTCTCTCTTCTTGAGGAAGACCTCAGTCTTTTCTTTTTCTCTCAGGGCCTTCAACTGATTGGATGAGGCCACCCACTTATGGGAGAGTTGTCTGCTTTTCTCAAAGTTAAATGATTTTCATGTTAAATCACATCTAAAAAATACCTTCACAGTAACATCTAGACTGGTGTTTGACCAGACAGCTGGATACTGTGGACACATTAAATCAACCATCACTCGACCCTTTAGTACAGACCTTGGCTCTGAAAAGTCCCGAGCCTCCCTCGTCTGGGCTCCTGTGCCACAATGCAGCCTCCCACCAAACGTGGGAATAACCCCTGGGAGATAAAGGATGTGGAAAAGAGGAGGATGTGACCATCTGTAACTGCGGGGACTTCGTGTTCACAAATTGTTTCATTTATACAATCATGTTCTTTCAGACACCGAAAGCCACCCATTTCTGGAAGCCCACCGTCCTGTGATTTCCAAATTGTATTCTCAGAAACCTGACCACCCCGTGCCTGGTGGATCAGTGCAGGTCCCACCTTTCCTGGGAATGATGTGCTTGGTTTCCATTAGGTTTTCACTCTGTAGCTATTTCTCCTGCCTCTAGAGCACTGCCCTCCCTCCTGAAACCTATTTCTGTACCCTTAGCGCAAGCAGCCTTTTCAAAACCAGAGCAGCCCCAGAAATCTCTGGTGTGCCATTGCCCGAAGCTCCAGGAATAAAAGGCAGGTGTGAGGCTCAGATGGCGGTGGGGAGCAGGTGATGATGACTTGACACCAGCGCTGGTCAGAGTTTGTATCAGACCAGAGGGGTTCCCTCAGGCCAGCTAAGGAATCTTCCAGGAGTTCCTAACAAGCCTTATATAAACGTGAATCTGGGAGTTCGTCTACAGCTTTATGAAAGCCTGTGAAGTAAGACTTATGAGTTTAAAATGGAGACAGATAAGTTCTGTTGTCAAATTAGTGGTGGTGCTGCCCCAGTGTCAGTTTCCTGGTAAGGTCCGTCATAGAAGATTTCGCTGCTGGGGGAAGCGTACGTGGGACTCTGCTGTTTTTGCAACTTCCCTCTGCTGCTTTAATTCTTTCAAAATAAAAAGTTGGGTTTTTGGGTTTGTTTTTTCCCCTGAGATCCAATAAATGAGGGCAGGACCTCAGATTTTGTTCTCTGTAGACCTTAACATCCTCCTCCCAGCAGAGTGTCAGAACAGCAAAGGCACCTGCAGGCATTTGGCAAATACACTGAACAAGAAGGCTGTCCACCGGGGCGTTGTGTGGTCTGGGGCTGTATCTGCGTATGGCCCAGGAGCCAGGGACCGGACTGTGGGGGGTAGGGGCTCCTTTTCATCCCTCCAGAATGCCAGTCCACTTGCAGGGAGGCCTGTTGCCTTTATTCAGCTGAGGGCACAGATGGGAAAATTGACAAGACAGAGTGGTTTTTAAGAAACAGTGGCCTCACTCCTCCTCCACTATCCTGGTTGGAATTCCGAACTTCCTGGGAAGCGGGGTATGAATTCCACACATTCCCAGTGTTAGGCTTATCGGATCTCCAAAGGCAACCTGCCCTCAGGTGTGAGGGTGACGGGTGGGTGGAGCTCCTGGACGCCCATATGACTCCTGCTCTGTGAGCCAGCATCCCTCCAGTTCCTGTGATTGGCAGAGGATCATCCTAACCAGTAGGACAGGCTGGGGAAGCAGCAAGACCAGTTCAGTAAGGCCCAAGGAAACCAGTCTCTCAATTTCTATAGTCAGGCTTGTTCATAAATGTTTTCTTGACTTAGCATGGCTCTCTAACTCCTGCACTCTTCTGAGGGTCCTAGGAACAAAATCTCTGCATATTTGGGCCACGGGAGATCTTCGAAGAGTTTAGCATGTTTGTTACGCAGGCAGGGCTCCCTTGATCCCCCTCGACTTAAAGCAAAGGAATGTGCACTTGCTTCTACAATGAAGGTCATGTGACCCACACAAGGCCACATAGTAATACTAGCTGCCTTCTTTCAAGTGATTGCCCTGTGTCGAAGCCAGTTCTAAAACCTTGACACATGTTCTCATTTAAATGGAATGACCTCTTCATGTTACAGGTGAGAAAACTGAGGCTAGGTTGGGTCTTAATCTGAATTGGATTTGACCTTTAATGGCTGACCCTGACCCTGTGGAAGTTGTTGGGGTTATGCCTCCAGAATCCACATCCCTCTTTCCCTAGTTTGTACCCTCCACCCCCATTCCTAGCTCAGATCCCCTATCCTGCAGTAGGAACTGCCTTAAACTCCTAGGCAGGCTTGGTGTTTAGTTTGAATTCCCAGCACCATTCTGAATTAATCAGCAGTTGGGGCTCAATCGGCCCCAGAATGGTGCTGTGAAAGAGCATGGTTTCTGGCAGTTCATGACCTGACTGCTCACTAGCTGTGTGTCCTTGGGAATGAAACCTGAACTTGCTCATCAGTGCAATGAGGGCAGTTAACCTGCCCCCACCAGGTTTTTCATCAGGGCGAATTGTGTGTGTCCCCCAGGGTTGTCACCAAGATGAATTGTGAGCACATGTGCTCAGAAACATGCCCCTGCCTTTCTGTTCCTGCTCTTTGCACACCCTCAGTGCTGGCTCCTGTTCAATCCAGAAGTTTCACTTTACAGGCCCCAGATATAAGACCCGTTAAAACCGATCACCTAGCAGTGTCCCCTATGTTCCCTCTTTACCACATCTTTCCCGAACACCTCTTCCTGGGGCCGTGTTTCACATTCACCCCACTCCAGGCTTCTAGGACCTCTGGGATCCTGTCCAGTTCTGCCCAGTTTTGTCCACCCCTTCCTCTTCTCTAAATCCTGGTGGACCCTCACTCCCCTGCTATTCATTCATCTATGGCTCCTTTCAAGTTCTTGGTCGAGAGCCACCCTGGGTCAGATACAGCTACTGAGCCCTTAAAATGTGTCAGTTTGAATCAAGGCTTGCTACATGTGTAAAACGCACACCAGATTTCAAGGGCTCTGTATGGAAAAAAAAACTCATTAATATTTTTACGTTGATCATGTCAGTTTTTTGATACGATGAGTTAAACAGAAGACATGAAAAGTTCATTTCACCTGCTTTTTACTTTATTAATATGGCAGCTAATGGATTTTTAAATTACATATCTGGCTTATGGTATATTTCTGTTGGACAGCCTGGGTCTCGCATCACCCTGCACTGCCCATCCATCAGCTTCTCATCTTCCATGCAAACATCAGAGCTTCATTTTTAGACCCGGCATCTCACCTCTTCAAAGCACATATGTGTGTGCATGTTGGGCATCTCCTCACGAATGTAGTCCCACCGAAGGAGAGAGCACACTGGAGTTCTGGTGTGATTGCTGTTCTGGAGGTGGCTGTGGGGGTGTGCAGTGTCCCAGGGAGCATAGCCAAGGCTGGGCTCTGCAGGCTGGGTTGGGTGAAGAACCAAATGCCTGAGGGGCCCTGAGAGCTGGAGGGTCCCAGTCAAGGAAGCACACTGCCCAGGTGTGGTGGGGGCCACTAGGCACCATGCTGCTAGCACCTGTCAGAGTTCTCAAGGTCGCAAGGGTCATTGGCATGAGCATGTGAGCAGGTGGCACTCACACACATACCCTGTGACACCCCCCACCCCCGAACTTGGTACACACCCCTTTGTGCCTTGGTGTCCTCAAACAGGCAATTCTTTGTCCCTCTTCCTGGAACGCTGGCCCCAGTGTCACCTGAGCTCCAGATCACCTCTCCATGATTCCTCCATTAGGGCACCTCCACCATACTGGGGTTGTTTCACCTGCTTCTCTTCACTCCTGGTGGCATGTCTCTGAGTGGGGTCATCTTGCCATCTTTCTCCTCATCGCTGACCCCTGTTGTAACCAACTTTTATGTAAATGTCTGAGTTGATGGCAATCATTTTCAGATGCTTAACTTATCACAATGGCCAGAGCATCTAGGATTCTAAATAGCCAAGACCTGGACCCACAACCTTCACTCTGTCACTGAGCAGTGGACCTTGGCTTGCTTAGGGTTTGTGCTCGGACATTGCTCTTGGCATTCTGCCTGCTGTCTTTTCTGCATGTCTCCGGACAATCCTTTGGTTTCTCACCTTTTAAAATGTAATGAATTTGGTGACAATCCTGGCTGCTGTCTTGAACTCAAGTGGAAGGGCAGCTAGGATCCTCAGGAGGCGACCAGAGGCTCTCTCTGTTTTGTCTCTACGTGGAGGTGGGAAGGGCTCCAAAGAAACCCACCCCTGAATGAGGGGCTGAGCAATGGTAAAGTAATTCCCTGCCAGGCCATTCCCTGGCCTGGGTCCTACGAAAGGCTGGCACTTCATATAATTTGGTGGGAAGAAAGCTCCTCTTAACAGAGCTTCCCCTGTAACCAACTGAAAAATGTTTGCTCTGCTGATGAGTTTTTTAACAACTTTATTTGAGATGCAATTCACTTACTAAGCAGTTTACCTTTTTAGAGTATATAATTCAGTGTTTTTTAGTATATTCACAGCATTGTGCATCTATTGCCACCACTGCTTTTAGAACATTCCATCACCCCCAAAAGAAGCCCCAGCCCCTGGCAACCACCAATCCACTTCCTTTCTCTGGATTTGCCTGTTCTGGACATTTCACATAAATGGACTCACATGCTGTGTGGCCTTTGTGTCAGGCTTCTCTCACTGAGCATCGTGTCCTCAAGGTTCTTCCATGTTGTAGTGAGTCAGGGCTTCACTTCTTTTCATGGCTGAATATTTTGGTGTCTGGATGGACACTTGGGTTGCTTCCATGTATTAGCAATTGTGAATCACACTGTTGTGAACACATGTACAAGTGTGTGCGTGGATGTGTTTTCAGTTCTCCTGGGTAGATAGAGATCTAGGAGTGTATAGCTGACTGATCTTGAATGCTGTCATGAGCACCTCAAGGGCAGAGGGCTAAAGCCCCCCTCCTGGCTTCCCTCAGCAGCCTGCTTCTGAACCCGCTTCCCATTCCCTTGCAGCTGATTCACCTGGAGATCAAGCCGGCCATCCGGAACCAGATCATCCGCGAGCTACAGGTGCTGCATGAGTGTAATTCCCCATACATTGTGGGCTTCTACGGGGCCTTCTACAGCGATGGGGAGATCAGCATCTGCATGGAGCACATGGTGAGCACGGGGGGGGGGACGACACCCTGGAACCAGGGGCACAGCCAGTGTCCCCAGAGCCACCTGGGCTTGTGACCAGGAAGACATGACAGGACAAAGGGTTCATGTAGAATGAGAGGGTGGCTGGTGAAAAGGAGGTCCCCTGCCTATGTCCCCTCTTTCCAAGGCAATCCTCCTGGAGATAGTCAATGCCATGCAAGCGTATGTATATAAGTTCCTTCATTTTTAAATGCTGGATGCCCTCCTCCCAACTTTGCTTTCACTGGGTACAAGATGGACATTATTTCCTGTCGGCATATAGAGCTGGCTCTTTTCCCCACTGTCTGGTGTTCTGGCACCCACATTACCTGTAAGGTAATTTATTAAATTCTTGTTGGTGGATACTGAGGTTGTTTCTGATCTCTGCCCCATTTTGAATGATGCTGCCTTGAATATTCTTGCACGGAAGCAAGCATCCCTGAGGGGTAAAGTCCAGTGGAATTGTGGGGCCCAAGGGTATATGAGATTGAAAATTTGATCAATGTCTCCTAAGTGCCTTCTAAAGAGAGTATGGCGGTTTGGGAGCTATTTTAAAGATAGACCTGGGTTTGCACCTAGCTCAGATCTTTGTAATTAGAAGCTCTGGGTAGAGCACAGGCACCCATCTTTTTTTAAAACCACCATGGTGGAATGAGCTCTACCCCCTGTTAAAAAACTCTAGTCTTGAAGTTCAGAAGTGGGTAGCATTGGGTGTAACGAAAGCAGAAGTGGTCAGAGCTGAAGGCCCTCAGAGGAAATGCCTCAGACCCTCTGCTGAACCCCGTTGAGTAGGTATCAGACTGCCTGCTACCGGGCTGAATGGGCTCAGGCCTGTTGGCTCAGACCTGGCGGGGCCCTTGCAGAACCAGGATGCAACGTGGCTTTAGGCACATGGTTTGACAACTTCAGTTACGCCTTGCAAATGTGCTGTCCCCTGACAGTTTTGTAACGGAGGCAGGAAACGAATTTGAGCAAGTACCTGCAAGGAATGCATTGTGAGCAGCCTTCGTGGGGTAACAGCTCAGAGGGAGTGCCTCCCAGAAGGTGCTCCCTGCCCCCCTGCCTAGCATCAAGGTCCCCACCAGGCAGCACCCTGGAGGAGTCCTGTTCCTCACCTGGGAGATCATATCTGCCTGCCTGCAGGGCAGAGTCACTGTGTAGACAAGAATCAAGGAGGGGAAAGGACTAAAGTCACTTTGTGATCTGAGGGGAGCCTCTGTACTATAGCTCCTCCCCATCCCCCTCCTCCTCTTCTCCCTCTCCAGTGCTCTTGGCCACCCCTACCTGTTCTCCCTGAATATCATAAGAATTTGAAGGCACCTCTTTCCCTTGCAGAAAAGAGGGAGCAGCACAGCCTGGTGCCACTGCAATCCCACATTTGTTCTTGGTAAATGTAAAACATTGGTTTCCAGCACTAGGCATCTGAACCCCAGCAGCACACAGTCTAAGCCACCAGGAGATAGGGGGCGAGTGCTAGGCATTCTGTTTATTTATTGGGCTCATCTTTTAAAAGTTTCTAGTTAGATTTTTTTGGTTTGATTTTATAATGAGCATACGAGGACAGTAGAACAAATATATAACGCCTAAATTAAAAGACATGCTAAGGTGAGGTCTGCGCTCCCCCACTTTCTCCTTATAGGAGTTATATTCCACAAATCTTGGAGGCCACTGATTTTCAAGTTTGAGGTGAGCCTTAAAGAGGGAGACTTTGTGCCCTGGCCTGTGTGGCTCAATTGATTGAGCATCAACTGTACATCGAAAGGTTGCTGGTTTGATTCCCGGTCAGGGCACAAGCCCAAGTTGTGGGCTCAGTCCCTAGTAGGGGTGTGTGCAGGAGGCGGCCGATCGACGTTTCTCTCTCACCCTCNTCCAATGGACTATAATCTATTCAATTGTGATTATAACCCAGTATGCTACTATCTACAATACTTCATATTTAACCTTATATTTTAGCTTGACTTTCCTCCCCCCCCAAAAAAAAAAAAAAAAAAAAAAAAAAAAAAAAAAAAAAAAAAAAAAAAAAGGAGGGGGACTTGGTGAGGAAGGCCTGGAGGGAGAGAAAGGAAAGGTGAAAAAAACATCGATGTGAGAGAGAAACATTGATGGGTTGCCTCAAGCACATGCCCCAACTGGGGATTGAACCTGCAACCTGTGTATGTGCCCTCACCGGGAATGGAACCGGTCAGGGCACAGAAAGATGCTCTAACCAACTGAGCCATACCAGCCAGGGCCCTTTACAGAATTTTTATGTTGAATGAACTCCTCCAGAATCCATCTGCATATATGTAGGTTTTCCCGGTTTGTGGGACATTTCTGCCTCATGTATCCATGTACCATATTGTGGGGCGTCCCACATGGCTGTGTAGATGGCACCCTGGGGTCAGGCCTCAGCCCCACTGCCCACCTCTCAGCACATGACTCTGGATGAGATTTTCACCCCTTCTTGCCTGTCAAGCCAAGGACAGTGGTAGTACCTTTCCCCTGGCCCAGGTCACACAGGACGTTGAGTAAATATCACCATTGTCACTGGGGCCATTTCTCCATATTTCTCTGTCACCTTCATTTCTCTCTTTTTTTAAATTTATTGATTTGAGAGAGAGAGAAACATTAACTTGTTGTTCCACTTATTTATGCATTCATTGGTTGCTTCTTTTATGTGCCCTGACTGGAGATTGAATCTGCAACCTTGGCATGTCAAGACAACACTCTAACCTCCTATCCAGCCAGGGTCTTCATTTCTCTTTTTTCATCTTTGTGACATCCCACCTAGTCAGTATCCCACATTGTGGAACTGTTTCCTGATAGAGGGCGAAGTTTCATCTTCACGCAGGGTAGTGTGGGAATTGGCTCTTATTTCCCCTCAGGGAGGTTCCAGCTGCAGCTTTTGAGAAGAGACTCCTAACTGATAATAAAGCCCAGATTCAGCACAGAAGGTTATACCTCACCTGGCCAGAGTGTGTTGGCCTTTGGGGATTGGGGACAGCGGGGCTCGCAGTTTCTGAGTGGCCTAAGTCTGTTATGGGGGAAATTCAGGCATGGACCCTGGGGACAGTGGATATCTCAGGGCGGAGTAGCTGGGGAGCTGCTTACTGACCACTCAGAGACTAGTCAAACACTAAGGAATGCACCCCCTCATTCTGTAATAATAAAAAATCAGACACACCGTCAGTAAGGGGCAGAGGAGGAATGCTATGGGGCCACTCTGCAGTGAGAAAAAAAGTCAGCCTGTGTGAACCAAATCAGAAATTCCCAAGGAAGAAAAGATGCGTGATGTGAACCCATGTATACATATTTTTAAAACTATAGTTCCTTGTGCATATGGATGTGTATGCAAATGTGCAGAAGAATCTGGAAGACTATAAGTCACACTTTTGGGGAAGCAAGTGCAATCACTGGTGGATCAGAGTCTTACATACATTCAAAATATATATATTTTTGTTAATCTTCACCTGAGGATATTTTTTCCATTACTTTTCAGAGAGAATGGAAGGGAGGAAGGAAGGGTCTAGGGGAAAGAGAGAGAGAGAGAGAGAGAGAGAGAGAGAAATATCAGTGTGAGAGAGACACATCGACTGGTTGCCTCCTACATGTGCCCTGACTGGTACATGCCCTTGACTAAGAATCAAACCCACGACCCTTTGGTCCACAGGCCAATGCTGCAACCACCGAGCAACGCTGGCCAGGGCCACATTTAAATATTTACAAAAATATGTGTTCTTGTACTACTTGCTTAATAAAAGTAAGGTTTTAAGAACATTTAGAACATATACACACAAAATGAAACTGTATGGTCATGCATACAGACAGATTTGGGGTCGAAAAGACCTAGTTGTGACATCTCCTACACCACATCCTGTGCATGTGACTTGAACGAATGACTTATCCTTTTAGCTGTAGACCAGGGGATCTCACCCAGGGGACACTGGGCAATGTCTGAGGACATTGTCACAACTAGGGAGATGCTAGTGGAGGTCAGGAATGCTCAATACTCCCACAGTGCCCAGGATAGCCCCCACAGAGAACGGCCTGGGCCCAGTGTTCCCAGTGCCGAGGGAAAGACCATGTAAGAGAGTAGTGTCCTTCACTGCGGTGTATTGAGTTAACTCCTGAGGCCCCAGCATGGTGCCTGGCTCACCGTAGCCTCTCTGAAGATGTCCTCCCTGAATGTTCTTATTCAGTGATCATCACAACTCTATGAAAGTTCAGAATGAAAGGACCTGTGTTAGGGAACAGGGATTACAGTTTAAAAAAATTTTTTTAATTCTTTTAAGGTTGATTGATAAAACAAGAAATGAGAAGAATAGAAGGAATTTCCATCTCGCCCTGCAGGTAGAGCGGGGCGGGCCGGGCACCCTGGTCAGACCAGGCTCACCTTCCTGGCTTCCTCCTCAGCCACACCCACCCTCTACAAGTTTGGGTCCCTTACTTGTTGACAGAGTCACACACATTCTTGAAGCTTCAAAGTATATTGGGTTTTCTAAAACTCTCCACCATGAGCACAGCTGGGGTGCCAGAGAGGGGAGACCTAGGCACATCAGAGGTTTCTCCCTGCCCCCAGGTGAAGCAGAAGGTGTCCTAAGGAAGTGACACCTGTGGGACTCTTAGAGCAGCATAGGAGAGGAAATGCAGGTTCTGGGGCCACCCTGCCACCAGTTCAAATTCTAGCCCCACTTAACCCCTGAGCCTCATTTCCTTTTTCCTCTCTGGAGTTCAGAGGAGACTAAGGCAGGCTCTGGCCTGTGGTTGGAACTTGGCCATGTCACATAAAGTCCTAGGGGGCCTGCCAGGCGTATCCTCAGAGCCCCACCTCTGAAGAGGCACCCAGCCAGAGCCAATAACACCCTGAGTTTTGGTTTCCAGATTTATTACCAGGCAACCTTGCACAAGACACTTGATTTCTGTCATTTCCTCATTGTCAGGTAGATTTGGGGCCACGCCCAGGGTGGGGTGGGGGGGATCAACTGGGATGACCTGTGTCAGGTCCTTTGCAGGACAATCCCATGCACAACAGGCAGGGAGCACAGGACAAGACCTAAGGGAAGGGGCAGAGCTGTCATCCCCAGGTGTCCTCTGTGCCCCTGGAACAACAGGTCCCTTCCTAACTAGGCGGGGGGAGGGGGAAGGAAGGGTGGCAGGGGAGAGGTCAATTGGCTTAGCTGCCTTTCTCCTGCACTGGGCGCTTAGTATCGCCTTTGCTCTCAGTCCCTGTCCTGCCTGTGGCTGTGACAAGAACCCACGCCCAGAAGTGGACAGGTCTAGCTTGTGCACCCTTGAGGTGGCTCCAATTGCAAGCCTGGTGGTTGGGCCTGCCGCTGTTGTGGCAATCTCAGGAAGGCTGAGTCCCGGGAAGTGCACAGGTATTCTTTTCCCTTCTGCACTAGATGTGCCATCCTGAGGCCAAGGGTTGCCTTTAGCTGTCATCTGGCCTCTGTTTCCCATGGAGAAAATCAGTCATCAGCTCTCTGGGAACCAGGGAAATATTGCACACCTACTCAGAGTGCTTGCTTTCTCTCTCCTGTGCTGCCCTCAGGACGGTGGCTCTCTGGACCAGGTGTTGAAAGAAGCCAAGAGAATTCCAGAAGAAATCCTGGGGAAGGTCAGCATTGCGGTGAGTGTGCAGGTGCCACTCCCACTGGCCATCACAGCACTGGGTGCGTGCACATGCTCCTAGCCCCATGCTCGGCTGCTTTATTCTTACTCCTGCCCTCTCCATGTGGCCAGTGGTGTGTGTCACTATAGCCCCTGCAAAGGAGAGTGCCAACACCAGTCTTCGCTGGCTGGGTACTGAGCAGGAGCATCCCTTTGCCCATAAAATAGGGGTAATGCTTTCCTACCCCATATTGGTGCCAGGTTGCATGGGACCCTGGTGATGTGGTTCCAGGCACACAGTGTCAAATGTTTCCTCTCTGACTTGGTGACAGAGCCACCATATCCTTCACCCCATCAGTGTGGGGGTGGGTGGTCCTTAGCAGAGCCCTGGCACCAAAGCATTCAACAGATGACACCTATTGGGTGGGTACAACTTCTGTTCTGAGGCAGGGTGGCCAGGCGGACACTCACAGCCCTAACAGTGACTTGGGCCTTGTCTCAGCTTTCATGGGCCTCAGCCCCTCCTCTGAGACTGGGGATGGCACTGTCTGCCTCATGGGTAGATGGGTGGTCGGTCATATGAGAATCAGTGAGGTAGGCATCAGTGCGGGGTGTCACCGCCATTCACTTTGCCTCTCCTCTTCCTTGTCCCCACCTGAAAACGGGTTCCCTGAGCTGGTCCCACATGCTGTAGCCACTGAGGTCTGGCCCGCAGGCCTCTCCAGGGGAGACTCCCCCCACATGGATGACTCAGCTGACCTCCTACCCTGTGGCTCCCTCGCAGGTTCTACGGGGCCTGGCGTATCTCCGGGAAAAGCACCAGATCATGCACCGAGGTAAGACTCATAGGAGCCCCACCTGGGCCACGGGCCAGTGGGTGGGCTTGAGCCATGCCTCACCCGCTGGCTCTGCTCTCAGATGTGAAACCATCTAACATCCTCGTCAACTCCAGAGGGGAGATCAAGCTGTGCGATTTTGGGGTGAGCGGGCAGCTCATCGACTCCATGGCCAACTCCTTCGTGGGAACTCGATCCTACATGTCTGTAAGTCCTTTGAGAGGTGTTTTAACATCATGTGCCATACCCTGCCCCCTCTCCCATCGCTCTTCCCCATTTTCCAGAAGCTTTCCAAAAGCCTGCATGTCCTCGTAATATACTTTCTTTGTCCTTTTCTGGATTTTTCCTCTCCAAAATTCTAATTTCCACCATGTTCTCGCTCAGGTTTGTCTCTGGGAATGCCTGCCTGGTTCCTTCCCACTGGTAATAAAAATCCAGTCAAGAAGAGTAGTCAGTTAATTTCTGAGCCAAGAAACTAGCCCTCAGATATTTTAGGAAACATCCAGGTGATAGTTGAAGCAGATTCTGAGAAATTAGTCTTGGGATTACTGTGAAAAAGGAGGCATTCCTCTGTCCTTCTTGGGCTGATCATCCTTTTCCAAAAGTGCCAAGAATTTGGGTTTTTAAAGAGCTGCAGCCCTAGCCGGTTTGGCTGTGTGGTTAGAGTGTCAGCCTGCTGACCAAAGGTCCCATTGGATTCTGACCAACGGCACCTACCTCCATTACAGGCTCGATCCCCAGTCGGGGTGCTTAGGGGAGGCAGCCCGTTGATGTGTCTCACATCGATGTTTCTCTCTCTTGTTCTCCCTTCCACTCTCTCTGAAAAGCAATGAAAAGAATATCCTCAAGTGAGGATTTTAAAAAAAACAACCTGCTGTCAGCCCTGGCTGGAAGCTTCTCTCTCCCAAGGTGGGTGGAGGGAGGAGACAGAATTACTTTGGTCTCCAAAAGGGTGGCAGGGGTCAGGATGGGGCTGTGAGGGAACAATGGAGAAACACTCAGATGCTGCCCCTGATCCGGTGTGCCGCCCCCAGGTTCCAATGTTCATCTGTCTCCCTCTGGGCCTTTCTTTCCTCTCTGTCTCACCCGACAGCCAGAGCGATTGCAAGGCACTCACTACTCTGTGCAGTCGGACATCTGGAGCATGGGCCTGTCCCTGGTGGAGCTGTCCATCGGAAGGTACCCCATCCCCCCACCAGATGCCAAGGAGCTGGAAGCTATATTTGGCCGGCCCATGGTCGATGGGGCAGAAGGAGAGCCTCACAGCATCTCACCTCGGCCAAGACCCCCCGGACGCCCCATCAGTGGTATGGCCTGAGTCTGGCACTTCTGGTTTGGATAAGCAATGACCAACGTGGGGAATGCCGTGCTGGGGGATAGCAGCTGCCTCCCCTCTGGCCCTTCTTGGCACCACCTGTCCTCTGGGTTGTACTAACTGTGGTCAGCAGTCCTCAGATGGTCCCGAGGCTTCTAGGGACGTGCTGGAAGCAGCACCCCCGACCTGTCCCATCCGGGACAGCTGCACCTGTTGTCACCAGCTGGTGGGATCTAGAAACCAACCCCTCAGCCAAGCCACTGGTTGGGTTGGATTTTCCAACATTTTATCACGAAAATGTCCAAGCATACAGAAAAGCCAAAAGGCTTGCCCAGTGAAAGCCCTTATGCCCACTGCCTAGCCGTTGCCCTGAGTGTTCTGCTGTGTTTGGGCCAGGCCTTCCAGGGAGACCCAAAATTGAAAGGAACTTGACTCAGAATTTCCTTGGGTGGTTTGTTGAACACAAGACAGAGCATGGGGAGATAAGACAGGGCAGTTAGTTGGAGACAAGGCAACACAGCATGGGAGAGGACAGGAGGCTGGGAGGCACTGGGTTCCCAGACAATTCTTGGTACTAAGAATGGCCACATGAGGTGGAAAGCTGAGAGGTTCAGGAAGATGCTTCTACCACTTTGAGGGGTGGCGAAGGGAAGGGTCACACCTGAGGTGGCATAACAGTGCTTGATAGGAAGGGAGTTGAGTTAAATGAGAGTCCAGGGGAAGATATAGTAGACTGTGGTCAGTTGGTTTATTAACAGTTTTATTGAGATAGAATTCAAGTGCCATATGATTACCTCTTCTCATATAATTCAGTGGATTTTGGTATCCTCACAAGGTTGTCAACCATCACTTCTATCTAATTCCAGAACATTCTGTTACCCCAAAAGGAAACCCCAGCCCCAGCCTTGGCACCCACGAATCCATTTCCTGTCTGTGAATTTGCCTGTTCTGGACATTTCACATAAATGGAATTGCACACTGTGTTGCCTTTGTGTCTGCCTTCTCTCACTTAGCATCATGTGTTCAAGGTTCATCCATGTTGTACTAGCATCAGTGCCTCACTCCTTTTTATGGCCGAATGAGATTCCCCTGTATGGATGGACCATATTTTGTGTATCGGTTCTCCACTGATGGACAATTGGGCTGTCAGATGGTGATTTTCAGTGTTTTCAAGTCCAGACTTTCTCCTGTCCTGGGGCCACATTCAGACTGCTGGGGTGTCTTGATTTCCTCTGAGGGCAGAACCTTGTAGTCTTTACCCCATCCATGTCCTTGGCCTTGCCCCCGAGCCTCCTAGTCCAACTCCCAGATGGCCTCCCTGTGTTCCCCTTCAGCCCTTCCCAGCTGGGAGGAACAGTGGGTCAGGCCAGGCCACCTTGGCCCACCAGCACCTCTCCAGCCCCTGCCCCAGTCCTCGTGCCCGTTTCAGAATGGAACCGAAGGCAAAAGTCCAACTGCCAAACCCAGACCTGGCCAGCTAGTTCCAGGACAGGGGTCAGCCACCTCTAGCCAGCCTACTGCTATCTCCACCGAAGTTCCATGCAAGGTCACGCTGCTGTCCTTGCTTGCAGTCAGCAAACCACCCCCCCCACACACACACACTGTACCTGTGTGCCACTAAGCTAGGGGTTGTGACGTTGGCACCACCTGGAATGCAGCACCATGCCAAATGTGTAACTTCTCAAAAAGTGCTCCTATTCATTTGGGTGTTTTATTTTGTTTTTTTTATAATTCATTCGAAGTGAAATTACTTTCCTAGGAAGTGAACTTAGTAGCCAGGCCAGGGGAGCCTCCCCGGGTTCAGGCCAGTGTAGGGAGAAGAGTGCCTGGCTTACTCAGCACGCTCAGACCTTAATGCCCACCAGAAACTCATCAGCCACTTGCCCACTTCACCCCCGTTTTTGTTTCTCCCCTGGGCAGGTCACGGGGTGGACAGTCGACCAGCTATGGCTATCTTTGAACTCCTGGACTATATTGTGAATGAGGTGGGTACCTAAAGGCCCTTTGGCACATCTTTATGCTAGCAAGTTAAGTTACTGCTGTAGGAATACATTAGCAAAAAGAAGAGAATTTGACACATATACTATGGATTTTGTTGGGGAGGAGGCCAGGGGGCGGGGAGAGGGGAGACGGAGACCATTCTTTTCAGTAGGAGGTTATCAGGTGTAAAAATACGTGGTCTTACTTCCAGCCGTACTACAGAAATCCACCCCTCCCCAAGGGACATTTTTGTGTGTTTATTAAGATGAACCCAGAATTCCTACCACAGCCCCCTCCCTCCAAGGCCAGTAGCCAAGTGTTTGGGCCAAGGAGCTGGGCCGCTTCCAGAGCTCTAACACCCAGCATCTTTCTCTGAGCATCTTGGAGTCAGTGTGCATGGAGTCATAAATAGTCCCACTTCCTTGGGAAGAGTCTACGGGAAGGAAGACATATGCTGGGAAGGAGGCACAGAGCACCTGAAAGGATGGTGTGACTATTCCCATTGTACTGACCTAAGTGCGGTAAACCAAGGCCTAAGTATGGAAGTAGCTAGGAAGGGTGGAACAGGACCTGACCTGAAGCCTCCTTCTCAGCAAGGCCCGGTCACCTTCCCTGGGCCTCTGAGCTGACATGTATTTTCGATGGCCCTTTGGAGTCAGGGCAGAGAAATGGTGGCTGGGCTGCCTGTGGTGTGGGGCTTGGCCTAGGACTGAGTGTCAAGGTGAGCAGTTGGTGGTGACAAAACAGGGTGGAGTGACTGGTGACACAGCTCTGCCTATACCTGACAGTGCTACCCAGCGAGCACCTCCCTTCCTGAGCTGGAAGGTTGGGTCCCATGACTGGGGAGGTGGAAGGAGCTGAATTGGAGGCCTTGTGAGTTTCACCAGGATAGTCTCTGCCCACCACCTCTGTGACAGGTCTGATCCTGCACATGACCATCCCCACCCTGGGATGTGTGTGTCAGGCCATGCTCCTCAGGCTCCCCCAGCTTTCAGGCCTAAACCCTGGAACTAGCTGCCCCTTGTGGTCCAGACCTTCAGTTCACTGAAGACACCCACAGAGATGGGTGGTTCAGACAGTGTGATACCATCCTTGTCCATAAAACGATGGTGAGCCCTGCTCTCCTTCCCTGTAGAACCAGTGTGATCCCCAAATGAGAACTTTCCAAAGAAAACCCTGGTTGGCAGAGCTGGTGGCAGGGCCTGCTGAGAAGCTGCTGGACAGGAGAGGGAATGGGTGTCCCCTCTGCCTCTAGCAGGGTGAAGGGACTAGGCCAGGAGAGGTGTGTCCTGAGGGTCCCAAGTGCCATGCCATCCTCACATAGGCAAGGCTGGGAAGCATCTTCTCCCTAATTCCAGAACCATCCGTGAGCATCTGACTCCCATCTGTCTGTTCTCTCCCACAGCCTCCTCCTAAGCTGCCCAGTGGCGTCTTCACCCAGGACTTCCAGGAGTTTGTGAGTAAATGGTAAGTGCCACAGCCTCCAGTGCAGTCTTGAATGGGCGGGACTGAGTGCCAGGCCCTCAGAAGCCCCGCCTTTCTCCTGGAATGGGCCAGCTACACTCCCAGCCATCAACCTAGATATGTCCTTTCTTTCTGGCCCCAGCCCAGGCCCTCTGTTGAGCCTACCACTCAGGAATGCCGGGTGGACAGCAGCATCCGGTGGGATACCTGTGGTCACCTGAGAACCCAGATTCCCTTTCCAAGGCTGCTAAGTCACGGTGTCCAGCTGCCATCCCCAGCTCATCCCCAAAACCTGGAATGAACCAGGGTTACAGGCACTTTGGAAATAAAGCTATTCCTACCTTGCTTTCTGCCAGCAGGCTCCCCCCAATCTCTCGAGCCCTACAGCCCACCAGCCTCTAAATAAGCCTTCCTAACCAGATTCTGAGAGGTGGTCAGCTGTTCCCTCTGAAGAAGGGCCTGGAGCCAATGAGCTGGAGACCAGGAAGGAGAGGCCAGGGCCGCCCCACTTACCTTTAGGGCTGTCCTGCATGGCAGGATGAGCGGACATGGCCACCCCGCTGCCACCTGGAGACTGCATGGCTCACAGCAGCAAAACTGCTCTGGTGGTGAAGGTGCCACTGGCCTTTTGCATTGCTTCCAGCCAACGCTGTGTCACACAAATCCAGTTATCCATTGTCTGTGTGAACATTTTTATCTCCATGCAAGATTTTCTCTGTTTGAAGAACTACCATTCGACCCCAAGCTGCTTTGAGCAGCTGCATTTAAGCAGTTCTGCTTTTCTAAAGGAAAAAGTTCCATTTTGACAATCATACTCCCAAGCTTGGTGGTTTTGCTGGAAATGGAGCTGCAGTTGCTGCTGGGCTCTGACTAAGCAGCAGCTGGGGGTTTCCCATCTTCTCTCCCTTTCCCTCCTGTCATGGTCTCACCTTTGCCCTTCCCTCCCCAAGGTGTTCTGTCCTTAAACCACAGGGCAGTGCTGGAGTCCTTACCCATGGGTACCAGGCAAGTCCCCACTGCCACCAACTAACTGCTCTGTCTTGTCTCCCCATGCTCTGTCTTATTGCCCTACCTCATGGAACCCCCAGCCTAATTAAGAACCCAGCCGAACGAGCAGATCTGAAGATGCTCATGGTGAGTGATACCACGGATTCTGGGATCACCGGGGGTACAGGCTGCCACCCAGGGCCCCTTCTTCCTCCTCAGGAGAGAGATACCCCGACCAGGCCGTCTTGAGCCAACTCTTGTCATGGAGTGCATGCTCAGCTGGAGACCCTGTGGGTCTCCTGGTCCATAAGCAGGAATGATCCAGAGCAATCTCTGCCCTCTCAGTTCCTTGGGGAGCATAAGCCCCAGCCATATGTGTTTGGGGTTGTTTCTGCAGAATAATCGGCTGTAAGCCTTCTGGGCTGCTCGCATCTTGGGCTTGTCAAGCACCCTGCAGGTCAGGGAGGCCATGGGGTTGATGCCTTCCTTTAATGTCCCACACCATTCAGTGTCCTTGAAAACTAAGTTGGCCACTGAAACTCACCTTCCCCTTTGCATAGAACTGTTCTTATCCCCAGGGATACATCCTGTTCCTCTCAAGGCTCTCTGCTCCCTGTCTGTGTGAGTCTTACCTTCAGTGCCACCTCTGAGGAGCTCCCTCCTGGCACCTTGTCTAATCTCACTCCACTGTTAGTTGTGGCAATAGGCTGTGTCCCGGTTGTAGTCACCTTTCTTTTCCTGTGGTCAAAATAGGAAGACTAGCCTGGAGCAATGTGTCAGAAGGGGTTTGCATTTGCCTAATTCTTTCTAGGAACTTCTTATTGTGTCTGACATAGGTTTTCCAGTAACATGTGCTAAAGAAATGCGTAATATAAGAGACACATGTTCATTGTAAAAGATACAAACATAAGAGAGATGCATTTATATTGAAATCCCCTATAGTGCTCCCCCCTCCCCAGCTCTCCCATTCACACTGTGCAGGAAAACCTTCCAGGTCTCTCTCTGCCTGAGTAAAACCGTCTGCTCTTTGGGGCTAACTTTGCACCCACTCCTCCTATTGTCCTAGACCACTGGAGTTCTGTTTCCTTCTTTGGTGTTTCACCCAAGGCTGCACCAACCTTCAGGAATATGAGGGTGGTCTTGCCTGCCCCCAGCTTGCATAGGAGGCAGCAGTCGGGGCCTTGATGTCACATGGGGAGACTAGACCCCTCCATGGACTCCGAGGCCCCGCCCTCCTGCCCTGGGCTGCCCTCGCCAGGCACACCCTGGTCAGAAAAGCATTTGTTCACCCCACCCAGCCCAGAACCAGGAAGCTCTAGTGCTCTGCTGTTCCTGCTGGAACCGCCAGCCATGGGTGGCTGTCTAAATTACTTAAAACGAAATGGAATGCACAAATCTGTTCTTCAGCCTCACAAGCCACATTTAAAGGGCCCAGGAGCCTCTTGTGGCTGGTGGCTGCCATACTGGATGGGACTTGTAGGGAACTTGCTATCCTCACAGGCAGTTCTGTTCCAGATTAAATGGTTTCATCTGGGGCAACTCTGCCTGCAGGGGACACTAGGCCATGTCTGTAGACACCTAGGATCGTCACAACTAAGGGTGCTCCTGGCATTGTTGGGGGGGTGGCCAGACATGCTGGCTCACCATTCCACAGCACCCAGGACAGCCCCCACAGGGACTGACCTGGCCCCCGTGTCAGCAGTACTGGGGCGGAGACCTGGGCTCTAGGGAGCTCAGAGCAGCCTCACCCTCCCCTGACACCCTGTCCCACATCTTTGTGGCTTTGGGTGTGGTACCCTGTCCTGAGTGTGTCCTCTGGTACTAGGAGAATTTTTCTTTCTCAGTTTTTGGGGTTTTGTCCTGGATGGCCTCCCAGGTCTGAGCAGAAGCCTGATGCCTTCCTCCTCCCTGCAGACACCAGGCTGTTCACAGTGCCTCTTCTTCCCTTTCAGAACCATGGCTTCATCAAACGGTCCGAGGTGGAAGAAGTGGATTTTGCTGGCTGGTTGTGTAAAACGCTGCGTCTGAACCAGCCCAGCACGCCCACGCGTACCGCTGTGTGATTCTGCTGGTGACCTGTCCAAATCCTGTCCACCGCCCTTCCCACCCAGGACAGACCAGCTCCTCCCCTCCCTCTCCCACCGAGCCTCCGACAACGTGCACGCAGCGGAACATTCACTTCCTCTTCCACCTGTCACAGCCTCAGGCTCTCTGGTCTCTGGGGAAGGGTGATGCTGCCCATGTTGTTGTCTCAGAACCTGCTTACTTAGGTTTAAAAAAAAAACAAAAAACAGGGAAACAAAAAGCAAACTGAACCCATTGTACTTGTTCCATTTGTTCTTTGGGTATCAGCCTCTGGTCCAACCCCAGGGGGAATAGTGTCCCTTGAGGGCAGCCCCAGCCCTGAGCCAGCTGGGCCACAGAGAAATTGGGATGGTAAGTGGTGTCAGGAACTGGCTTTGCCCTTTTTTCAAGGGACAAAGCCTCAGAGGGAACCCCTAGATGCTGGAATCTTTCACCAAAACAGAGGAAGTACTGCCTTGCATTTCTGTGTGTTGTCCCCTCTCATCCCCTCTCCTGACACCTGCTCCCTTAAAGGTAGCCCTCAGCAGGCCCAGAGAGCAGTGAGGCAGTTGGTTGTCATGAAGTCCACTTCCCCCTGGCCACTGCTGCCTCTTGTCATGCAGCCTGGTATAGCCATCCCTGCCTGTCCTCAGCAGAGTGTGACCTGCCCCAAGAGGGTCCTGGTCCTCTCCTGTGCCTTAGGAGCAGACACTTCTGACTCTTCATAGTGGCAGCTGAGCCGGCACTCAACTCGGCAGAAAGGAAGTGTTGGGTTTCCAAGCCCTCAGTGTGGTTGAAACCCCCAGCAGATTCAGTAGATAAGGCTTGTGCTCCCCTTCGCCTGCACACGTGGGCGGGCAGCACTCTCAGTCACCTCTGCTCGCCCAGTGAATCAAAAGTGACCACCCAGGGCACATCACTCTTTTGGGCCCTTGAACCGTTAGTCCACAGCTGGTTGTAAATGAAACAGCGGGAGGGAGGTTGCCCTAGTTCCCGTGTATGTTGGGGTAGCCAGCCCTTCTGTCTTCAGGGCTCAGACAGAGAAGGCCAGAAGGCTGCCTCTGGGCCTTCAGACAGTAGGAAGTGGGGGAGGCCAGGGCTGCTTCTAAGGCTCCCCTCCTCCAAACTCTGAAGATGTTAAAGCTGTCAGCCGCCCCTCTCAATACTTCCTGATAGCTTGAAACAAGCTGATATTTATCTGTGGCAAATTGCGGGGGAAGAGTTCTCTGAGAGGGACATGGCCTGGTGCAGTCCAAGCTAGCCCTGGGTTTCTGGAGAAGGTGCAGCAGAAGGCAGAGGCTAGTGGGAACTATCAGGTCCATTTCTTATGGAGACCCTTCTAGCGTCCCGTGTTTTTTTTCTGTGGACACCAAAGAGAAGACAAGTTGGTGGCTCTTTCAACCAGCTTACCAGGTTTCTGCCACTTCAGTTTCCCCCCAAAGTGTCCCCTGATTTAGAAAAGAATGAAAAGATAACTAAAAGTTATTAAGGTGTTGCTGTGTGAGTGCCCCAGCTTCCTCACGACCTCCCGCACAGGGGAAGGGGTCCTAACGTGTGAACCATGATTTGGTCTCTTGGCCTGAGAGTAAATGGCACTGGTGGTCACAGGTGGGCTGCATCTTTGGGCCTGTCCTGTATATCTCAGGTTTCCATTAACATGAAACCAGCTGCCATTTACAAGGAGTAAAAGACCACATTGGCAGGGGTCGAGGGAGCTGGGGGTGGAATTTAGGGTTGATAGGGGGCGGAAGGGGATGTTTTGAAAGTGGGAGCCTCCACAGGCATTGAGAGGTCTGGGTGCTGCCCCCAAGGCCCTCAAGCTCACACAGCTGTGTTCTATACTGTACTGTTATACTTTTGCCAGGATCCCTTGGCACATCTGAGAGGTCTAAGGGAAACACTTTATCTTCCCACTCTGCATCAGAGCCGGGCTTCTAGAAAGTGGAGATCACACCAAAACGTGTCCGAACCGCTGAAAGCAGAGTTTTCAGGTGTCTCCCTCAGTCCCCATTCCCTGGGAACATCCCCAAATTTGGCACCCTCTAATTCAGTCACTGCAGTGCTCATGGTCTAGGCCTGGCTGTTCCCAATTATCTGGCTAAAGGTGGCCACAGACCTAGGGACCTGCTCCCCATCCCAGCAACGTGGTTATAGGTTCTGTGTTGCAAGGGGGCAAGCTCTTTAGTGACTGCTTTTGGTTTGGGGTCTGACGTGGGGATCCAGGCAGAAGCTGGCATCAGGCCTTGGCCTTGGTTCTTAGGAGAGACCCCATGTTTTGTGCACATGTATCAAGGTTTCTTGTCGCTGTTCTTTAAAAACCCCAGGATGGCCAAGTACGTGAGATGACACAGCCACAGTGTTGGGGTGGGGGTGTGGACACGGCAACACCTTTGATCCCCAGCACTCCCCTGGCTGACCTCTGTCCAAAAAAAAAAAAAAAA